CCGAGTTTGAGCCATTTTTTAGCCGAGTCTGAGCCTATTTCGAGCCAATTTCGAATAATTTTTTAAAGCTGAACCCAAACCCTTTTTTTGAACCGAATCGAGCCAAGTTGCTGCCTAAAAGATCTGGTTCCACTTTGCAACTTGGTCTACAAGTTGGGTATGTGTCATATTCATGCACCAACTTGAGGGGTGTTGAATATAATATTTTATTATTTAGTTTATTATTTAATTAATTGATATTATATAATTAGAATCTATTAGAATAGGAATTTTATGTATTAGGATTTTAATAAAATAGTTATTTTCTAATTAGGAAATTAAGAATTTTATAAATATATCAGGTATAACAATTTAAAAGGTAAGAAATAAAAATGATTTTTTCTTCAAAAATCAACATAGACACATGGGTTAAAATGCCCCAAAAGGAAGGACTTGCATGTTGGAATAAAACAAAAAGAGGAGATGGTGATATATCCTATGAGGACAACGATTCAGCTGATGGTGAAAAGTAAACACTTCACTTTTGTCTGTAATAAGGCACATTTTAGAAAACCCTAAAGTGGAGAAGAAAGAAGAGCCACCATGAGTTCCTAATCAATGATCTTTCCCATAAAGAAAGCCCTATGGAAGTTTCCTGCAAGAAGAAACTTGATAATAGACTAATTGGTCAATATGTTGAGTTTATACACCATCATGTTACATTCCTAAACAATTGTGTTTGTGTTATTTTTTTTGTATTGATCAGAATAACTAAGCACAAAGTTTACCAAATCTGGAGTATCCAGGTTTTACATTAGGGGAGAATGATGTAGAATGAGTTACATATAAATCACCTAAATATGTTAAAAATTATAATTCTATATATAAAATTATTGTACTATTTAAGAGTTTATTATTATAATATTAGTAATTTTAAAATTTTATTTTTTCAATCGATGCAGAATTTATTACATAGAAATACTTAGAGATTTTTAAAATTTTTTTTTGTTATATAATGCAATCAAACCCTTAAATGTGATGTTTAAAACTGTTAACTGTGATGCCCAAAACTTCCTCCATGTGATGTCTAAGTTTTTATCCCTAAATCTAAATAATCCTTAATTTTTCTTGCATCAATGATGAGGTTTATAATATTGATGAAAAAATTTAGGAAAGTTGGTGGCAGGTTTGATTTATCTCATTTCGCACAAGATGATCTGTTATTTTGTTTGCTGGGAGTTTAATTTCCAGGTTTATACACAGTCCAAGCAAACACCATTTGAGAGAAACCAAAAGCATCATAAGATAAGCTCAAGGCCCAACAAATTTACATATAGGTATCTGAAGGGAGAATCAAGCAATCTTTTTCCTTTTATAAAGAGTGTTTGGTCTACTTTTGCAAGTGATAGGAAAGAAGACAACAGGATCTCTTTGCAGCCTTGGTTTTGAAGCTATTTCATGGTCTCAAAGCAAGCAATGCCTTTTCATGTATAAAAAGCATATTATATACCTGCGAGAACTATAGAATAGCACACGGTTTGGCTGAGAAGAACCTTAAGAAAATTTGAAGAAAAGCAAGTTGAAGCTACTGTGATTTTCATGTGATAAATAATCTGCAACTGCACTAATAAAAATCCAGTCCAACAAGGAAGATCAAAGCACATAGAGACGCATCACATTTTTATTACAGCACTGGTTTTGGGTCAAACAGAGTTGCAACATTTCAAAACTGATATGCAGCCAGTTAAATGTTGACAATACCACTACCCATAAGAAAAACTCTAAGAAGTTTTGGTCCATTTTGGGAGTAGAACCCCTTGCTGATTTTTGTTTTTCTTCAGGTTTGGTGGATATTGAGATTTAATTTAGTCACAGGCTGACTTAATTTTATTTAGCTACGTGATTTTCTGAGATAAGCCGCGCAATTTTTTCAGTTTTTCAGTTCTGCCAATCTTGAGTTTCCAGATCAGATTAGTTGTTTTCTTTTGAGATAATATTATAATTTTTATGCAATATTCATAACTTAACTGAAAGTAAATAGCACATCTAGTTAGTTTCATTAAGAGTCTAATCAATAACAGTTTCTTATTCTCTAAATTCTTGTGTCTGCTAGTTATATCTTTCTCTGTTTCTTTTACAAGCATCTCTCTGCTTTTCAAGCAAATAAATATCAAGATCTTTCTAAGTGGACTACTGCTGTGGGAAATGAGATGTTGCAGGGACACTTAAGTATTCCAATAAAAATTATGTCATGCTCTCCTTGGTTCGTGCTTCATGATATTGCATGCAAACTGCTTTACATTGACTTACCTGTAAATACTGACCAAGTGTGAGAATATCAACATCTATGGCTCTTAACTCAGCCATTGCTTCCTTCAGCTCATCATCAGATTCTCCAAGGCCCAACATTATGGAAGATTTCGTTATCATTCCCTGCTTGCTGATTTTTGCATGTTTTAGAACTGATAAGCTCTGTTCATACCTGTATTGCCAAACTACATATCAAAATCACGACTAGCATTGACAAGTAGAAATGCAGGATATAAGATGCAATCCACCATAGAAATTTGCAAATCAAAATCAGTATGGCATGGTATATCGATACATCGACAATGGACCAAAATGATTTCTTTCTTCAATTAGTAATGTGCGATAAGTCTGTCTTGAAACCAACTTATCTTACAATATTGAGAATTAGAGAAAATTACGCAAGAAAATAGAAGAATATAGAGAGACAAAGAAATTAGGACTTAAGATGACAAGGTACAGAAAGAATAGACAAAAAAGCTAGGCTAGATGAAACAACAAATCATAGAAAGAACAAAAAGGAGATAAACAAAGGAATAAAATATGAACGAGAATTCTCAATTTAAAATTGTCTCTGCATACTTTATATAGGTGGTAGCTTCTTTTTCTTTTCTTCTTTTTTTGATAGAAAAAATATTAAATAAAGAAAAATGAGTATGAGAAACAGAGATATCCTCCCAAAAACCAAAGAGATATCTTCCCAAAAACCAAAGAATGAAAACAAAGGAGAAAAACCACCATTCAGAAGAAAAGGATAGCTAGCCAATTCTTGTATAAAATAGCCAAAGGATAATCTTTAAAGTGCTCATTCACATTAACCCAAAGAGAGTCTACCACAAACAACTTATTCCTAATAAATAAAAAAAGGAGAATTGATCCCTAAAGGTTCTAATATTTCTCTCTAACCAAATCAGGCACATCCTAGTAAAGAGAGCCCTGCACTTTAGAACCTTAATCTCCTTCCTCTTACCAAAACCAATGAGAGCATACAAAAGAAACCCCTCAAGACGGCAAGGAGAAACGCAAGATACACCGAAAATATCAAATACTTCGAACCAGAATTTCTAGGCAAAATCACAAGGCAAAAAAGAAGTAACTGAGTCTCGGCACTTTTGTAGCAAGATAGAGATATCCCTAGAGATAAACTATGATTCTTTCTGTGAGCTTAAAGCAAATTATTAATATCCAGCCTACTAAAAACAGCAGTACAAACAAAATCTTTGTCCTTAAATAGACCAGAAACCTTCCAAAAAATATTTCTCAAAAACATCATTTTGGATAAAAGGATCATGGGTCAAAAGACAAAAAGGGACTCACGCGTAAAAATGCTCAAAGAATCCAAAAACCAAACTCTGCAACCAAGATCCATAAAAGATGACAAAGTTGAAGAGCTGAACAGAAAAAATCTTATAATCAGCTTTCATGATCACTAGGGTTTCTTAGAAAAGATATATTCAGAGAAAGTGAAGCAATGGAGTTTTCCAAGAAAGAGGGGACAGGAGTATTATGGATCCGAAACACATTATATAGGCATGGGACTGAGAGGCAGTGGAATATTTTCAATCATGAAGCCTCTTAAAATAGAAAATGAGAGCCATCACCCATCTTAAAATTGAGCAAGCCTAAGAAAGTAAAACAAAAAGGCTGGAAATAGCTCTCTAGGGGCTCCTGCATGTGATCAAAGCATTGACTTTGGAGTCGGTTCTGTTGCAAACCAAACTTTTAATCACCTTGTACCATAGGGAACTAGGTTTTAAGAAACCGCCATAGATAAGTTTTTATAGTAAAGGTTCCCAATGCCTACCCCCACCACTCTTAGAAAAACGAAACATCTCTTCTCTAACAAAATGATCCTCGTACACTCGCTCAACCTTCCATCTAATGTATTCTTGAATTTTACCCTTTCCATGTTTATTTCTTTTTCCACCGCTTTCCTATGCAGTCTTGTCAAGACTCTTGAATACCATCCTCTATCGACAGTACCAAACTTTGCCTCTATCACCCTCCTCCGTAGAATGTTGTTTTCTTTCATGAACCGTTATATCCACTTATCCTGTAGCGTCTAATTCTCCACAAACAGATCTCAAACCCAAACCAACCTGATGCAATGGTCTTTTGACCTCATCCCATGCCACCAAATTATATTTTTTTTCTCTCCTTAAAGTCGCTTCGAAAGAATATATACAGGATTGATTCCAATTTCTTGACAACACTTATTGGGATAGTCACAAGGGACATATAATAAATGAGAAGATTAGTCAGCATGCTTTTAATGAGAGCAAGTCGGCCACCTTTGGACAATAAATTTCTCTTTCATCCCGCTAGTATCCTTACAAATCTTGCCACAATAGAGGCCCACGTTCTCATTTCTTTGTAGTTTGCTTTCAAAAGCATCCTTAGGTACTTAATCGACAACTCAACTCTTTTGCATCTTGAGATTCTTGCCAAGCTAGTAGCATTACTCCCATCTTCCAACCTCACCAATTCAAACTTAGCTAGGTAAGACATCTGAGATTGAGTAATGCATCTTTATCCGGTTCATAAAACACTAAGATGTCGTCTGCAAAAAAATAAATGTGTTACCTCTAGTTGCTCTTCTTCTCCCACATTTAGTCCTCTGAACAACCCATATCTCTATT